GAACTTGGTGCACTGTTGCGCATCACGGAGAGTATCAGTGGGGAGTAAGATCATATTTTCTCCATTCCTATATGGTGGTTTCCCAAAATAAGGGGACCCCAACATAGACCCCAATATACTATAATCCTTATTATGGGGACCCCCAAATTGGTACCCCTAATTTTAGGAAACCCTAAACCCTATAAGATCCCCTATATAACCCCAGTTTCCATTTAATTTTCCGTGTTCTTTTCCATTTGATTCTCCATTATAGTAGGTACCCCTAATTTTGGGAAACCCTAAACCCTAATCCCTAAACCCTATATCACCCCACTATAGTAGTTTCCATTTTCTTTTCCATTACCCCTAATTTTAGGAAACCCCCATATGCCCTATATACCCCCCTATATTCCCCTATAAAACCCTATAAACCCCTTTAAAGGTACACCTAATTTTGGGAAAACCCCCATATTGAGGCGAGAGGATCTCTAGCCTCATGGCTACTAGGCCGATGGCAATTTTGCCAGCAAGGTGATTTATATATTGGGGGTTATATAGGGTTATTTCGGGATAATGGAAAAGAAAATGGAATCTACTATAATATAATAGGGTATATATCGGGGTTATTTCGGGATAATGGAAAAGAAAATGGAATCTACTATATGGGTTTTTTCATTAAGGTGGAATGGAAAAGAAAATGGAAGCTATTATATTATACTAGGGTATAAATTAGGGTTATTTCGGGATAATGCAAAAGAAGATGGAATCTACTATAATATATTACGGTATATATTGGGATTATATAGGGATAATGGAAAAGAAAATGGAAACTACTATATGGGTTTTTCATTAAGGTGGAATGGAAAATAACATGGAAGCTATTATATTATACTAGGGTATGAATTAGGGTTATTTCGGGATAATGCAAAAGAAGATGGAATCTACTATAATATAATGGGGTATATATTGGGATTATTTAGGGATAATGGAAAAGAAAATGGAAACTACTATATGGGTTTTTCATTATGGTTGAAACTTCAACGTCATTCACACAGCCTCGATCACTGTCCGCCTAGATGTCACGCAGCGCTCGCAGAAAACTAGGCCCGTGATGACACTGCCATGCGCAAGGCATGAAAGCTGAAAAACAAATTTGAACTCTAAAGGCTCTAAAAGCCCAACGAATACCCTATTATAAAGTAGTAGTTCCCATTTTCTTTTCCATTATCCCATAATCCCCATATATGCCCTATTCTAGTGTAGCAGTTTCCATTGTCTTTTCTATTATTAAAGCTGAATGCCAGGTCCAACACCTGATGCCTGCGATGCATGATGTGGCATTCTCAGCCTTCGGTGCTTGCAGGAAAAATTGCGCAGCGCTTTGAAGGTTTCAGGAAAATTCACCATACAAGCATTATACAGCAGTAGGGGTTTCACGTGTTGTTGATACTCGCTACTTGAAGTTTGTTATGGAAGAATTCTGGAGGCGCAGAGATTGATTCGAAGTGAGCTTGAGAGAACTGAAGTCTCACTTCTTGGCATCGGCTTCAAGTCCGCTTCTGTCTGGCGTGTCCTGATGTCCGGGGTGTATTCCTCCAGCCTTTGGGCTCGATTTCTCTGAATGAGGGTCCCAACACTAAATGAGGGTCCCAACATAAACGGACCATCATTACGTCCTATAGGGATTCCTGATACCAATGAAGGTAACAGTCACGACCAGACGCGTTGTCTTGCTACAGATGTGTTTGAGACCCCTACCTCGAGAAGGAACTCAGAGCTTGCCAATGGGGCCATTTCCCAAAAGGGGCATATCTCCTTTCCAACCTTCTTGCAGCAGGATGGTCACTTGGAGGTTCATGGGCACGATAACTGGTAAACAGCCAGAATCGCCCTAAACGCATCCAGTGTTAACCTTTTCGTGCTAATTATAACTATGCATCATGCCCACGAACCTCCACATAATATCCTGGGCAGCCCACGCGAGTTGTGACCTTCCCAGCTCTCCTACCCCTGCATGGTGAGGCTGACAGCCACGCAGCTATGACTGGGGTGGATGCTTTGTACCTGCTGCTTAGCTGCAACATTTTAGGCTATGGATCTGCTTCTTTCGGAGGGGTACGGTGGGAGGAGTCTCAAAATCCGAACGTGTCATTTGCAGCGACAGGTATGTTTATTTGAAGGGTGCATATGGGGCAGAACCTCATCTCGGATGCTTTTTCAGTGGCTATTTTTCTACTCTTTGCGAATGCGCAATTCGAGACGCACACGCCGCCTCGACAACTCCCCGGATCTGAAAAACCCATACCCTGAACAGGATCCTGGAGTCCTGCTGTGAACGGATGGACGCAGAAGCCGCAGCGAACGTGGTCAGCACAGTCTTCGAGGAGGCTGCAAAAGCTTTGTCGCATGAGGCTACTGTCAATGCCATGGCTACCAAAGGGCTTGTGGTCATGTTGTACACTTCTGGGCTATCACGTGAAATTCTTGGTAACTTGCGAAAACCCTTCAAGCATGTATGGTGTCTGACGTTCGAAGAAGGCTTGTCCTAAAGAAGCCTGGGTAACCAATGAGTTGATGCTTTGCATGGGCACTCCAAGATGTTTTGACTTACTGAGCCTTTAAAACGTAGCAAGCTTAGCAGGATCTTGTGAATTAGCGAGGGCACTTGAGGTGATATTTTCAAACGGCAGGGCTAGCGGAGTATTCATGCCCCGATTTAAACATTTCAGGACTTTCTGTTTCCAGGGGAGGCGCTGGGGCCCATGTGTGAGGACTCTACCTGAAAGTGTTTTTGGTATCAGAAATGAGGCTTCTAGCCAGTGTTTGAGTGCGTAGAACTCTCGTATAGAACTTTCGCAGCGGCACGGTACTAATGATATGTACTGGGAGCTACCATTTTTCCTGGGTTCCGTACAGATGTGACCAAAGCAGTTTTCTCTTGAGTACCTGCCTCCCTCCTTACACAGATTGGGGACGAAGGCTTACCTGGGCGATTCAATGTCTAATCGTTGTGGGCAATTACAGTAGCTCCTCATGCGTATACCTGTCACAGACAGTCTGAGGTGCAACACTCCCAAGCGATAACGATGAGGTTTATGGGGATGATGATAAGTGCTTACTCTAGCTATAGGTCTTTGATGGACTTCTTTTGACCGTCGCCGTTGTCATTTTAAGGCCCGTGTTTTTTTAGTTTGCGTGGGGACAGGTTGGTGATCTCTTACCAGTCTGGCTGAAACCCCAAACTCTGGCTAGGTGGAGAAGGTCCGTCACAGCTCCGTGCGCCAATCAGTCCTCTCCTGCATTAAGGCCATGTTTGTGATTGTCTCAGGTGATGGATCGAGGTTGGGGATCATCGCAAATTCTGCGTGGCTTTGTGTGGACGCATTTGGAATAAAAAGGTCTATTGCTCAGGGCTTTCCTCAAGGTGCGCGTCGACTTGCAATTTTTCTTGCAATCTTTTGATACTTCAAGAAATGGTATCGAAACATTGCTGTGCCGAAAACCATAGAGGGTCTCAAATTGTTATGTGATGGAGGAACTCCTACATGCCTCATGTCGGGACTACATGCAAACATAAGTCTAGTTTTGGGGTTCCTCGTGGCGTCACTACAGACGTACATGGTACATTCGTATGTTATATACAGGGTGTGTGCATGCGTCCAGGGTATACGGAGGGACCTTGAATTTTGGACAGGACCATATGGGAAAGTCATGTCGTGGTGCTTGAGGGAGGAGAGATTTTCACCTTGATTGCAAACAACTTGTTGCCAAATCAGCTTTTTATGGGCAGGCCAGACAATGGCTCTCTTTGAAGTCTTGCTTCACCCTTAAACACTCTTAAGCACTGGTTGATCCTCCACCACTTCACGTTTTTGCTATTTATTCAACCCAAACCCTACTAAACCCCTAAAACATCCTAAGCATGCCGCCGAAGGCCTTGGCACTCCACCACTTTGATGCAGTGTTGGGCGCTCAGGTTCAACAAGGTGCTGTGGCTCTAGCTTGGTGGTGCCACAGCTTTTTGCGGGTCCCTACCATAACATCACAGTATCTCGGCGTCGGTACTAGGGCCCCCTATTTATGGAACCTCCCATCTCCCTGACAAGACAGGCGTCGGTAGAAAAAAGTTGTGGAAGGAACCCTCAAGTCTGCGCTTTGATTTAAGTCTCGCCGAGGATAGAGGAGCTCCTGGGCATGGGTCCGGACTTCAACACCTCCATCATGGGCGCTCTTCAGGCACGTGTCGGCTCTGAGCGAAAAGTGCAGGGACTTTCCCTTAACTCTTCTTGAATGCGTTGGGTTTGAACCTGGTTGTGGACACTGCCAGCGTGCTTTCATGCCGCCAGGTAATGGCCAAAGAAAATTCTCTTCTGCTGAGCCTTGGCAGAGTGAGCTTAAACTAGCCCGGCCCTGAAAGGCGTTTCGTTTGCAAAGCTACCATGGCAAAGCATTCTTGCTATCCTTTTCATGGTCTCGACCGTCACTCTCTCGTTCTTTGTTGTGATGTTCAGCTTGGTTGTTCCGGCTTTCCTTTCTTGTTACCACCTTCGGTTGGCTACGAAGATGGACATGAGCCTGTATGCAGCTGTATAGGGTCCCTACCATCAGTGACACATTGCTGAGCGCCGTTAGTTCCCTGCACAAATGCCAGTCGCCACTGAGGAAGATACTGAATCATCTCACAGCGGCTTGCTTGCACTGAAGCTGCATCAGCATGGATGATCATACTGCGTGCAGGGCCTTGAGTTCTCAGCAAAAGATTTGACTGCCACAACAGCATGTGGGACCGCATTCGCAATTTCTGTCTGTGAGGCTATTTTGCTGGAGCCCCAGCACGGTTCAGTCTAGCGCAGGTTGCATGCAAATGTATTGTGACATGGTAGCACTGCATGTGCATACAGATTCTGCGTTTTACCCAGCATGCCAAGCACTGCTTGCCGATGCTTCCAGGTAGCTCGAGTAGTCTGGGCGGGCGGGTGTACAGTGTACAGCAGCCTCCTTGGAGGTAACTCTCCCCACCCATGGCTTGCCCTGAAGAGCAGTGGGAGCTTCGGGCTCCAAGGCGTCGAAAGCGTAAATTCCCACGACGCGTCAGCGACAAGTGGTTGCGTGGACCGGTCCCTGATAGATATGATTTGTCGGAAGCTCAGCGAGCACTTAAGATTCTTGCAGATGCGAATATAGAGAAGTGCCTCGACGAGTTGGTAAGCAACCGGCAGAACACAGCTTGCGAAGCGCCAGTGCTACGCAACAGGACGCTGAGGCGGTTGAACAAACAATGGAGCTCCCTGCAGAGTTATGCGCGCTCTCAGATACAAGGTGACATTGACAAGGAATTTGGGCCAAACATCAACATGCAGCCTCTGAACCCGGATGTTGAAGTCAAGCAGCGATTCTTTGAAGCCCGCCGGACTCTGGAACACACCACGACATTGACATATCATGGAACCAAAGCGGCGAACATTGATTCCATCTCTCGCATCGGTCTCCTGATGCCCGGCAAGGATGGGCACAAGGTTGCCAATGGATCCGCTCACGGAGTTGGCATCTACACGGCCAAGTTGGGCTCTCCAGGCTTGTCCAAGAACTTCTGCGACTCCTGCAAGATGTTTGTTTGTGCGGTCTGCGACTCGAGCCAGCCCGTGACCGAACCAGATGTCAAGCTGCACGCCTTAGCTTCAGGAATCCAGTTGGTGCTAGGTCTAGGTATTCTTTTAACTTTGACCCTTGAAATCCCTGTGTGTCCCCCCACACATCAGGCTTCAAAAAAGTGACTTCCAGAAATGATGGGTCACTCTCCCAAAGCCCTTGATCAAGGCTGAGAATTCCGGGAACTGAGGTTGGAGACTACCTGGAAGCCTTCGACAACAGTTGAGACTGGGCTGCACACAAGTTGGCGGACTCCAGCAGCAGAGCAACATGAGAAAGCTGATAGCACGTATGTTGCTTTTACATAAGCCCTGTGTGGGCTACAGCGTCAAAGCGCGCAGATAGGCAAGAATATCCCTTGTGAGGTCCAGACAAAGTTTCCGAAAAGGCCGACAGCTGTGAACAAACATCCTTCGGTCAATCGGCTTGGGAGGCATGACGCTTAGCTGGCTTAGCTGCAAATTGCCGAAACCTGTAGCGGGAGTTTCTTCCCAGGGCATCGCTCCTGCTAAGCCATTGCGTGTGCATTAGCTCACGCCATTTGCAGTGCAGTTCAGCTTGGTGTGCTTGGTGCGACACAGCGGCCTGCCCATTTTCATGAGCATCAGAAAGCATTTGGAATGGCCAGTGCCACTGACTTGGAGACACTCTTTTGATCGGTGGACACCTGCCCCGAGGTCCTCAAATTTGAGAGGCCCAAGGCAAGCCCACTGTCACAAAAGGATCCATGATTTCCGGAAACCTCCAAGTTGTCATTCATGCCAGCAAAGGACGTGGTGCGGCGATCTGATCAAGTTCTGCACGTGGGCAACGCAGTTGTGACCTTTGAAGAAGGCTGTGTTGTTCCTCTGCACCTCTGTGGCATAAGGTAGGACTTAAGGGGTCAAACTTGGGTTTGCGCATCGTGTATCTGGATTAAAAGATGGAACCCTTTCGGTAAGTAATGCTGGAAAGAAAAGAGAGAGAGTAAGTCGCACTCTCGCCCCTGTTTACTCTTCTTTTTACATCAACTCATTCTGTTAATCAATAGCTACATACTTTTCCTCTCCCTGAGGAATAATTCTTGAAAGTTGAAGGTAGGGTGGACTTCAAGATTGAAACCTAAATTGTTCAGAATCCCTATCGTTATCATGCCTATCCTGCACCCTACAACACACTTTTGTTCTTACCATGCCCTTGGATGGCAAAATGTTTGGCCTTTTGGAGGGTGGTTCGTCAGTGAAAGATGGAAGCGCGCAAGCAGGATCTATGCCAGTACTCACCCAACGACCTGGGCCTTTTAAGGCTTGAGGGTTCAGTGGATTGTGGCGTCAGGAAGGACCCTTAAACGGTCCTAGTAGTAATAGCTTGTGGATGTACTGCTGAGAATGCCTCAGAACAGGGAGGTGAGATCAGAACTATGCAAGTGGGTATCTGGGGATTGCTGTAGGGCCCTGACTTGGGATGCATAGCGCCAGGTGCAGCCTGAACAGAGACGACATCAATGGTAGGATAGCATTGAGGGCTGCAGATACGACAACATCATAGTGATAGGAGCAAAAAAAGGTATGAACAGCAACTGCAATCCGCCAGTTCTTTGAAAGCACAATGTGGAGGGGTGGGTGTAGGGAAAGCACTTCACTGTTTCTCTATCCGTTTTCTGTCCACCAGCAGTGGAGCACAGGGACTTTCTCTCTCGTTTCAGCGCAGGGGTGCCTGGTGTATTGTGAAGACCGAGAAGACGAGAAGGTTCAGCTTGACTGATGGGGAGAAGGTTGAACCACTGCCCTTGGCAAAGAAAAAACGGTTCGTGAAAACGGATAGATGCCCTCAACGCACCTTAGTCACCCAGTAGAGAACCTGCAAATTGCCAAGAACATTGAGAAACCGTCAAAACATTTGGGGGCCTGCTCATTTGGGGGTAGACATTAATAAGACTTATAGTATGCTGGGTTTTGGTAGTTTCCCAAAATAGGGGACCTCTGATACTATAATCCTCATTATACCACCAAAAGAGGTACCCCTAATTTTGGGAACCCCCTGCATTGGGAGCCCTTAGTTTTAGGTCTTTCATGGCAAGGTTCCTCCTGTCCTGGGCTCCAGAGACAGAGCCTGAAGAGGAAGAGGAGGCTCCTGCGAAGCTAGCGCCATTTGTGCCAGATAAGTCACTTGGATCAGGGTTTGGGGGTTTAGGGGGTTTAGGGTTTGGGGTTGCGGAAGTTTAGGGGTTTAGAGGGTTGCGGGTTTAGAGTCAAGGGCGTTAAGGAAGGAACCCAACACATGAAATGCATACAACTTGTCCCCTACATCTTTACTCTGCCATGCACTGTAGAAAGCCAGAATTGCAATTTCATCCACCAACCCTAAAGCCTGAAAGCTTGCTGCCCTGCAGAATCTCAGGGATACTTTGGGACTACAGAAGTGTGGTGGTAGGTGGTCAAAACTATAGTCCCCTTGCGGGTCCCGACTGTCATTCGGCCTACAATATTTTGGCTGCCCAGAATGGGGCCATGATTTCGACAAGCTTCTCATTGTTTCGCGGTACAGGAGTCGTTCTTCGTGAGCAGTCTACCAGGTCTTACGAGACCCACAGTTACCTACCTATAAGGGACTCTCGGTATGTGCGGCCAAGCTTACACTCCGAACTCAAAACACTTAATTGTAAAAGTTACACCAGAGCCCCAAACCAAACACTTTTCATTTGCGCTACAACAGCAAGAATACAAGCATAACATCAGCAGCAACAAGCTGACAATGATTAGTAACAGCGACAGGAGTCATCATCATCACCATAATGATACTATCAAGGAGGGCAAGGCCCAGAGACTTTGAGATGCTCCACCCCATATGGCACCACAAACCTTCGGAATTATGGGCTTGCCTTTGATACTAAACTTACTAAACATCCTGCAAGAGTACCCTGTGCCTTGGAAGAACGGGATTGTGGTCATCCCCGCAAAGAAAAAATCATTCCGGCCCAACATTCATAAATACTCAACCAAGTACCATCATGTAATCTAGCGCATATTCGTTCCACAATACCATATCTCTCAAGCTATAGGGTGCTTCGGCTCACGCAGGATCTTTAGCATCGACCCTACGTCTGCAGAAGTACCCTGTAAACCTAAGCCCTTAACCTCGACGCAGACAGGCTTAAATCCAACAGTGATGCTCAAGGTTTAGGGCCCTTATTGCCGGGACCAAATTCTTGAGAAACTACCTTCGACTGGTCTTACGCCTATCTCTTCCCTACAGAATCCCTGTGCAACCTATGCAGTCCAGGTACCCTTCCCAGAAGCGGCTCCAATCTTGTCAAATCACGGCAAGCCTGATAGCCTAAGTGCATTGTCGAGCCCCAGATCCCAAACGCCTTATGTAGGCCCAACCTTTACCCTAAACGCGTCACAAAGGCCTAAACTTAATCCCTTCACTCTGAACATAGTCAACAAGGCCTCATACGCTGATAAGCCGAAAGCTGCTATGGAGTCCAAAGCCCTAACCTGAACCCTCAAGCTAGCACAGAGCCCTGAAAAGCTTGAAAATTTCAAACGGAGCCCAGAATACCCTGATCCTGACCCCGATCCCTGAACTGCATCTTGAAGCTTGTAGCATATTATTACTATTACTATTACTATTATTATTACTATTATTAATATTATTATTAGGAGCTATTATTAATACTATTATTATTGCTATTATTATTATTACTGTCTTGTAGCCTAGGCTTGTGCTGAGACATCACGCCTGGGAGCCGCAGGATCAGGCCTGGGCTCTGCCGCAGCGCCTTGATCTTGTGAGGTCTTATATAGGGAAAATGGTTTAGGGTTTAGGGTTTAGGGTATATCTTGGGGTAATATTGGGATAATGGAAAAGAAAATGGAAGCTACTGTAGTATATTGGGGTAATACAGAGATAATGGAAAAGAAAATGGAAACTACTGTAGTATATTGGGGTAATATTGGGATAATGGAAATGAAATCGAAACTAGTATATTAGATTGGGGTTATATAGGGATAAAGGTTCTTAACCGCAATTCCCTACAGCTTTCTGGGTTCTACCTGGTTAACTGTAGATTACCTGCTGAGGGTTGTGTCTTCAGGGAATGGAAAAGAAAAATGGAAACGATTATTTGGTGGCTATAGAACGACTAGGGATCCATTGCTTCTTAACCCCAAGTGCCTACAGCTTTGCGGGTTTTACCTTGTAATTGGGGGGTTGAGGCATGGAGTGGGAAAGAACATTGAAACTACTAGTCTACTTGGGGGTTATACAGGGGCTGCCAGGACTACCGCGTATAGATTCAGTCCTTCTTTCCTTAAGGGTCCGGCATTCGGCTACAGGGATGACCATTTGGGGTTACGGTTTTGGGCTTCATACAAGGCCTTCCCGCTTTTGGGTTGTGTACAACACTTGTTCTGGATACCTGTCACAAGAAGTGTAGAAATTCTAGGGTCTGGGGTTCATGTGCCTGAGGATTAGGGCTTAGGGTTTCAAGGGGTTGTTGGTTCAGGCAGGGATATCAGGCCAGAGTGAAGGGCCTACTAGAGTTTGTGTGCAAGGTGTATGGTGAAAGATGAACGGATGAGTTATGGTGAATGCAGTGGTTATGGTCAAACGGTATGTATTAGGCTCAAGGCATGGGTGCATGTACAGGCTACGCAGGGATAATATGGACATGAGAAGGATAAGATGTTGGAGGTTCAAGTGTTCGAATGAAGGGGAACTCCAGCAGAAGTCCTCCCACAGCGGATGGAAGGCAGAGATTAAGGTGGCAGGGTTTCAGGCACCAGGTCACCTTGGCTTGAAAGCTTGGAGGTTGGGATTTACCGGATTTGTGTGAATCAGGCTTTGGCGATGTGGGGCTGAGGAATCAAACCCCCGCCTAATCTTATCGGATGTTTGGGGGGTATCAAGTCCAGGAAGTCCAAACAATCTAAGCTCTTTCACTGCAAGGGCTGACATCATCATAAGGTTTAAGGGTTTAGGGTCCAGGGTCTTCCTATACAACCCCGTACAGAGATCTGATTTGCCATTTACTGTCCCATTAGATTCACCGTTACTGATGTTTTTTAGCTTCAGAAGTGAGGCAAGTGGGGCGTCGCCGTTTTGCAGTGCTCCGTGGCTGCATAGTGTGCTGGATGTACTATGTGTAGGTGCTGCATGTAGTATCAACCTCCTCACCCCCGAAATGAACATACCGACATGGTATTGCATTGCGGGCATTCATTTTTAGGATTTTTTTTTTTCGGTGGAGCGGTTTAGTCTTAGGTTGAGGGCTGGGATGCTAGATGTGGAGTGGCGACTGTCACAGCGTGAGTGCTCAGCGGTCTTGTGAATGGCTGGATGGCTTCAGCTTTACTAGGTTACTTGTATAGGGTGCGCTACAGGGAAAATGATGGCCAAGCACATCAGGCCAGAAACAGAGGAGGCGCAGCTCATCCAGTTCGGGGATGACCATGACCCTGTCCACCCACGAAGAGGTGCGGCCAGGTTCATGAATCAAGCCTATCTGCAAAAAGATGTTGGAGAAGGGAGCGGCGCAGTCTTTGCATGGATTGTCGGTTCTTGATGGTCTTTAAGCTCCAAGTCTTGAGTTCTGAATTGTGTACTCTCTGCGAGAGGAAGCCGGATAACATTCTTCTGCAACTCCAATGCCATGCCCCTCTGAAGTCCTGGTGGAATTGAATGCTCTCCGCTGTGGTGAGGTCGCACTGTGTGGATGGTTTCAGACCCTTTCGAGGGAACAACCTCCGGAGCCTCCCCGATGCATTGGGGCAATGCGTGAGGTTGCACAAGGCTTCACTCAGGATGCTACTGGAAGTTTGGCGCAAAGCAGCTCGAAAACATTTCCTGACATCGAGCGGTGTGTGTGTGTGTGTGTGTTAGCGTGAAGTTCCGCGACCCAACCAGATGACAAGCACGTAAGAATCAAACAAGGCTTCCCTTCCACAATAAGTCACAAGCAGGGGGAGCAACAAAATCCCAAGGTCTCGGGGAAGGGGAAGCGGCTGTTGTTTGGAGGGCAGCCCCTGGGGGGCTTGGTAGGGGTCTTAGGGGCTTCTCCTAAGGTCTCGGGGTAGGGGCCTTGGGAACCCCTGTTGTCTGGAATTCGGCTATTTTTTTGCAGGGCAGCCCCTGGGGGACCTCAGCTAAGGTCTCGGGGTAGAGTTGGCCAGTCAAGTTCCTTTCGAACTGGCATGGCTTAGAATAGATCCGACAGAGCAAGGAGACATGCAGAACGAAGCATGGGTGCTGCATCCTGCGGTGATGCGCTGCGCTAAGGATAGATGGGTGAAGAGGAGGATGCTGGAGCGAAAGAGGCACATTCAAAGAAGGCAAGCGCGGCAAAGTAAGGAAGCTAAGCTCGAGAGATTCTGAGAATCCTCACTGACCTTGCCAGGTTTCTAGCTAGGAGTAGTTTGTCACCGTCAGGACTGACCTTCCGGTTGCGGATGCCTCTGTAGCAGAGCGGAAGGTCAGGCGTTTGTGTGCATGCCTCTGGCTCTGAGAGCCAGGCATGCATTTGATGTCTTGTTCCGTGCTTCGCATGCGCGTTCCGAAGCTCTGCGAGATCGAGCCGACGAGTTACCTTAAGAGCCATCAAGATGTTACGAGTGCAAGCGCCATCTCTCTGCGCCTTGCGGCTGCGACTGTACAGTGTGCGCTGTGTTGAAGATGCAAATAGATGCGTGCCCTGCCCGCCACAGCTTCTCGAGGGCTTTACCACATCCTTATCCACCGTTGCCAGTGGCATTGCTCAGGAACCACAGTGATCCTGAGCCAGAAGGTCATACCAGTCGCAAGGCGCCCTTGGCGACAGCAAATATGGTTCCAAAAGGGGTTTTTGTTTGGCTTGCCCTCACATTGGTCGAAATCCTTCAGCCAGTATCATGGTTTCTGTCTTGACATGCACTACCACACCAGCGTGGCTCAATAGCGCAACGGCCGCCTCTCATGTTGTAAAGCCTGAAGATGCTTAACCCCTCAAACACTGCTGGACTCCCGTAAGCAGGTGCTCTCCGCGACTGTGGCCGTGGGCCACCTCTTCACTGTTAACGACTCCTCCATCGGCGTGGTCGTGAGAAGGTCCGAGCTTTGCTTGCCACAGCGGACAGTGTAGAGGAGATAGTTCGGATAACGAGGGTGGTGAGATTGCTTTCAGCATACAAAAGCAGCTCGGAAAGCCTATCACATGAAGGTATTTCTCCCAGCTCTTTGGGACTTTCCTACTGCGCATTGGCACGACAACCGAAGGCTTGAGCGCGCCGGCCCCAAAACGACCTTCTGCACGGGTTCAGGTCCCCAAAGTCCCACTTCCTAAGGTCCTAGTCAGGTATTTGTAACCCTACTTAGCATAGAGGGCCAAACCCTGTGGTTTTCTTATAAGAGTCTAAGTCTGGCTCTGCGGCAGAGATCCCTCTCAAGCTGCAGGCCTTGAAGACATAAGGAGCAACCCCCAGAAATGCGGAAGTCGCGCCCAGAATCACGCCAAAGCCCGGTCTGCACACTGCTGAATCCTGACCAGAATCCACACCATGCAGACTCTGAAATCCTGGGCCAAAACCCTTAGAAAATGGAAACTACTATAGGAATATTACCCTAGATAACCCCTATATTATATATTATAGTAGTTTCCATTTTCTTTTCCATTATCCCAATATAACCCCAATAATCCCGATATCCCCAAACTCAAAACCCCAAAGCCAGTCCAAGGCGCAACAGGCCGCGGGGGCCTTCATGAACTTCCTCCACGCCTCCTCGAATGACTCCATGGCCATGGTTACTGACTGAGAAGGGCAGAAACAGGAGGGTTTCAAGAAGTTGCGCTTGAGCAGGGGGAAGTTGCGTTGGAGGTTATAGAGAAGCAGGAAGATCCATTTCCTCTGGCTTACAACCCTGTGTTCATGGGGGGGTTCCCTCTTGCTGCTTTACATTGACTGCACATGAGTCTGTAGCCAGGGACTTGCGACAGCAAAATTCTTCCAGGTACTCTCGATGGAGAAAATTCTGCAGCACCTGGAGCACGCCCCAATGTCCTCAAGAGACAATGGTCTAGTTCAAATCCCCGGCTATACCCATCCTTGCCAAAAATGCCTTGCCCGGAGAAGGCAGGAGCCTTTTGCGGCAAGTAATCATATCCAAGCATTGCACTGCCGAAGTTCACTCTTTTGGGCTTTTGCGCCCAGAGGGAGGATTCTAAGGTGCGAGTACATGCATGGAGTTCCTCAACATTACCCTCAATAGAATGCTCCGAGAAACCCCCGTGATCCGTTCATAGTCCTCACATTTTCCTAGTGTTCTCATGGGCATTACTCTGCGAGACACCTGCCCGTCCCACTGGAGGTTCGGTCCCTAACCCCTAAAACATAAATCCTAAACCCAGGCCCTGGAAGGCAATCGTCTGGCAAAGGCGCAGCAGCGGATCAGCTGTAATGTAGGAGTTTCTCAGAATGACCCCTATACAGTCCTGAAGGGCCAGCTGGGTATCAGTAGGATCCCCAACTTGGCGAATTCGAATGTCAGGGCTTCCAAGAATTCTGGTGCGAGTCTTAATAATGGGGCTCCAGTATGACAGCTGTATGTAAGGATATCTTTGTGGAGCACATGTATTCAGACTTTAGCTTCAACATAGTCTTGGTGCCTCAAGGTGAAAATTCCGAAAGTCAGGCACATGTCATAGTTCCAACAAGCAACCATACGTAGCAGGATAGGCATTGCCATGCAAAGGTCGCTCTGAAAAGCACAGCCAGTTTGAAAGCGGCCCATCGTTTTCAGCGGCTTTTGGAGATGTTCTTCACACAGCACAACGGGCTACTCGCAACATTCAAGTTGGGGCTAATAAGCTCTGGAAGAATGCATTTTCGCACCGGCAGGGCTGCACCCATGTCTCACCTACCTACTGGATCCTCAGGGATTTTCTGGGAGGCTTGGGGAGTGTTCAGTCTCAGGGAGTTTTCGTCGATTTTGCCGTGCATCAGGTTGCATGACGTCGCCCCTTGTATCCGTCTCGCCTGCATCCGAATTGAGCTGCTGTGGGCGCAGGTTACCAAGGAATTCTACGATGAAGTGGTTTGTGAGCTGGCATCGCTCTATTGCCGACATCAGCCCAGGCACTTCCACAGAACCTGGGTCGTAGATTCCTTGAAATTAATTACACGTTGGGAAAACGCTTAGCGATGTCACTTGCAGATGACTGGCGGTGACATGATGTGTTGGGCGGTGCTGAAGGCGACGCGAAACTCTGCTTCAGTTCATGCAGCCCTTCCAGGCCAAGGAAGAGTTGCATGTTTCTGTCGCGTTCACGCCACGATGACAAGACCTGTCGTCTAGATTCCCGTCTACGGGCAGGAGCTTGATCTACAAACGAGAGAAGGCATTTAGACTAGACCTCATGCGTCCTGGGAAGGCGAGCAAGCAAGATGGCCATCGAGTCGTAGCGACCACGACAATGCTGCTGACTCAGTGCAAGTTTGACGGTATGTTGTAGAGATTCTCAGGGTTGGATCGGCCCGTATAGCTGCAGAAAGGAAGATGTACAACAGGGGCTCGAATTCTCAAAGCGGACGATTTGACCAACCACTATGGCTTCTCAGGTCACAGCTGATGAGCAGCAGCATCGACGCCGCCCTCAGCGTCGACGCCATGCATGATATTCTTCAAGGCAAGTCCATGGCATGATTTTGCAAAATGCCGCTATGGAAATGAAGTCTCCGCAGGCATGAATGGTCACAGGAATTGCATTTGTAGTGCTCTAAGATAAGTGAACTGCAGGGGTATTTTGCAGGCTCCATTTTGAAGACATGCCTGCATGTCCGCACTGACATTAGGTATCATGAAAGCTGTGACCGATGCTGATGCAGTCGCCAGGGCCTACAGGACAGGGAGTGTTCTAGAAGCTTCAACACCGGAAATGCCATGAGATTATCATTCCCAAAGCTTCATTACATGTGTTGGTAGCATCGCATGGGGATCGATCTAAAGTAAGAGAGCCCTGACTTGCAATCGCTTCGCAGAGCTGCTCTTGAAGGCCTCTCCGCTGGTTGCAATGTCAACGTCAGCAGGGGTTTCCTCTAAATTAGCTGTACTTGTAGAAGTCTGATTGATTTTGTCCGATTCTCAACGCGAAAGCCATCAAATACCTCATTGACATGTTCCATGCGGCGCCAAGGTCCGCAAGCAAGCTGTGCCTAGACCCTAGTTGCGGTGTCTTCGCAAGTAGATCCGACGGGGCATAGGGATGCCACAAGCAGTTAAATCGGAGTTGGCTAAGTCGGCTGAGATCTTTGCAGGGCAGTATGCGAATCCATCCTGTGCTAGCATCAGTCCTCGAACCCTTGAAGCGGCAAGAAGCTGACCCAAAGGCATTAATTCCTGAACCTTAGAAAGATTAATTCTGCTGCAGCTCAAAACCACGGAAAACTGTAGACCCAAATGCAAAGCCATCCAAAAGACTCAGCTTGTGATGTGTAGCGTTGTACCAAGGGTAGTGGCTACATGTGGCTACCATTAAGGCTTGCTGGCCGTTGCACTCTCATGGCACCTGTTCATCATCATACCACAGTGAACTACTCCTACCCCCACTCCTGTTCCAACTCTTGCTCCCCCTCTGCCTCCTGCAATCGACTATCACCACCGCCACCACCACCAGGACCAGGACCAGTGGTAGAGGATCACTTGCAGACTTGTGTTACTTAAGGACTTGGCGAGCCTAGGATTGTATACTTGCAACCTCTATAAGCCTTAGCTATAAGCCTTCGAGTAACCCCGTTCTTGACCTACTGAGTCCCCCAGGTCCTCCATGCATTCCCAAGGCGTGGACTGGGCAATATCGCCGCATTTTGGCAGCAGAGCTCGCAGGAGAAGCGCGCCAGGAATTGAACTGTAGAAGTGCAGTCATAGCAGTAATGATTGTAATGGTAGTAGTAATAGTAGTAATGATGGAGATGCTAGTCGAGGTCTTCTTTGGGAATCCTCATACTAAGATGTTAAATTAGGAAGGGTGCAGGAGAGAGAGAACTATGTTTCGGGATAGCCTTATAGCGGACTTCTTGAAGGCACAGGTGGTCTGCGTGTGTGAGTTGCTTCCCACATTCCCTCGAAAACCCAAAGACAGTGGTGGCCGGAGTTCTAGAGCAGAGGCTGCGGTGCAGTGGCAGGAATTGGCATCAGAGGGTGTTGGTGTGGTTTCGATGGGCAGCTTTGTACAACTCGCGGCTTCCTTGAAGATGTGAATCAAGGCGCGGGAGTTTAGGAGTTAGGTCCACTGTTTACGGTTGCTGTTAATAAGTCCAGGTCTAGTCCTAGGGGGTCTGGGGCTAACAGCTGCAGTGAATTGGGACTCAGCGCAGGAGAGCGCCCATCTTGCCACCGATGAGGCC